TACTACATATCTTACACTTTATACTATGATTTGTGCAAGACTTATCTCCCTTATTTTTTTTAAAAACCAAGTCGAAATCACTATCCATCCTACGGTAAGATATTTCACTGGTGTCTTAGGGTAGAACTCTTTTGGCAAGGAGGTATATAGGTCACAATATTTAGGGAAGCATATGCCCTTAATAAAATCCTAAGTTTCAGGTTACTTTGAGTCAAAATTGAAACACTTAACACTCAAAGCATTCAATTATTTTTGACACATTTTCACCACAATCAAAATTTTAAAGCACTCAAGCTCCCTGTACTTTTGGTTGAATATATCTGTCACTTTAGCAAAGACATGTTAAAAAGTATTAATTCATTGAACAAGTGAAAAATAAGGTAATACAAGTCGACACATATATATATAGGTGACAATCGTTTTATGCAAAAATGGTCTATTTCATGTTTGAACTGAACAAGTCTGAATTAATTTTGCATAAACATTTGATGTCAGTGATACTGTTTAAACCATGAATAATGTTAATTTTGGCCAATATTTGTATAGAATTACACTGATGCTTGCCGTTGCTTGTCGTTTCATGCACGTCTGTACCGCTAAATTGAACTTTATAGCCAAAGACTTGTCTCATGAAACGTTTTAAAACAATGCTCAATCATGTCCATGCATAATTTGCATATTTAAATTCAAAAAGCAAGGTTATTTGTTATTTTATACACCCCAAAAAATTGGCCTATTATTACAAAGTTTTACTAGATATTTGTATAGCCACCTACCTTAGGATGATCCTAAACATGTCCTGTGGTCTCCGCTAGGTCCTAATCAACCTCATCTCGCTAAACTACTATACACCTCTAGCAGTTGAAATTAATTTAGACCCACGTAAATAAATATCCAATATAGGTGATAGTGACACTGATAATGAGACATGGTGTGTGGTTTGTATGTGTCCTCCGAACGAAGCGCCAATATACAAACACGCAGTCCCTATAGTATATAAACACATTACCTCCGACGAACGAGATATGTACTTACAATTCCATCCCACATCTAGATCTTTCGACCATTTTTTTTCTGTTTCTTCAATTATGTGGAAATGACAACACCAGAGCTGTATGTCCAGTATAAAATGCCATGATGAGATGTTATAGTCAATATATGCATGAACAAATTTCGTACAGTATCCGTTTCACATAAACCTAAAGGGCATGTTCGGCCATGCATGTAAGGATTTTCTTATTTCTTCCGCGATGAAAGTAGCAGAGCCATCCTCTCTTATATGTACACATGCATTTATATATATACATGTATAACTTGATCAATAATAGATCTTTTTCATTGTACAGTTACGATGTACCTAGCAAAATCAGAAACATGTATACACAAAGCCAAGCCAAACATTCCAGCTACATATATATATATATAGGTATAATCTTAACCTACTTCAACCACATCTATCGGCTAATGGACTAGATGAACTACAGTAATGTAGGTTTATACACAAAAAGCTTGGAAGAAAGTTAGTATTCAATTCAATTAACCCAGGCCCCCACAGCATGCCAGCTTACACTAAATTATGAAATCTTTCGTGAGTTATAACAGGTACATTCTCTTTAAAACTTCACAACATGTGACCAGTCGAGAAGAGCTTCATTTTGATTACCATGACGTAAACAGAGTGTAAATGTTCTACAAAATTAGACTACAACTACACACATGTACATGGTATCACAATAACATCATAGCCATATTGTTGGAAGCAGTTTTTCAATAATAAATTTTTAAATGATTTCAGATTGAAGACACTTTGAAAATCTTTTTGCATGATTAATATTTTAGGGTACTTAATTCAATTACAAATTGAATTCATCAGTTGCAGACAAAATACTACAGTCAAAATTATAAAACAATTTTCATACATCAATATATATTTTGACAAAGAATTTATCCTTCGTAAGGTTTAAACCTGCTATACCTTCCTTAGGTTGATATCAGTATTTACTAACTATCAAATTTATTGACTAACAAATTTAAGCAGTCAAAAATAAAATGAATAAAACTATTTAAACATTTCTTTCATTTACCAGTTAAATAAAAACGTTTTTCCAAACAGATTTATTTCACAACACAAATCTCCAAATCCTTTGATTTGCTAAGATTAATTATTTTATGATGCAATAGTATAACTATACATGTATTAGACAATGTACAACTAATACTTAACTTCTAATAACAAAATATATATGTTAGTGCTGTATTATACTATGTGCATGCTAATTAGTTAAAACCGTCTCCCCCATGATAAATATGCATGATTAGTATATAAATTGTTTGAATTTGATTTAATATGTTAATTACTATGGTCAATAATCACTTGAATGTAAATTACATAGTTATGTTTTAAAATGATTTTTTTCCAGTCTGATAATTAGTTTCCCTATAAAATCCAAACATCTGGACTCATGAAGGTTATCAATTATTATACAAAACAAATGTAAAGGTGTGATTCCAGTCGCATGACCATCTATTTTGAATACTTCCTCTTGCCTCAAATTGATTTATTGCTAGGTTTTCAATATGTACTATGATAGTATGCATATTTGGAAATTATTTTCTTTTCTTTTTTTATCAATATGAACAAACAAACAAAACAGACTTTAATATTGTGTCTGTGTTTATTATGATGAACAGAAAACAGGAATCACACACAAACATGAATTATATCTTTGGTCTAATAATTTACATACTGCACACAGATTCTGTGTCCTTAGAAAATAAACAGTTTCAGAAAACAGAATTTGATAAAAGAATAGTCTGAAAGAAATTATTACTAAATCAATAGATCTATGATCTAAAACATCACCAGGAAAATATTATGTATTTATTGGTAATGATTTATTGTGAGGGGTGTACAATTCCAGTAACCATATTAACCTGATGCCACTCAGGTGCAAGTAGAATTCTTCAAAAAACTGTCTGTGGACTCATTTGTATGGGAATATGAAATTGAACACTCCTGTACTATAATAACAATATCACATACAGAAAGTAACATATAAATATACATGTATATATCTACTGACTATATATCATAATGCATATGATCTTAGAGTGTTAATAACTGGGTTAGTTGATGGGCTACACTTTAGTAAGAATTGATGATGCATACCGCTTTAGTTGTGAAAAGTCACTATCACTAGCACTGGTCCTGTAATACAAACAGTACATGTACATACATGAGAATGAATGCAAGACACTAAGGAGTTATCTCCCATTGATCATGACTTGATATATATATAGTCAATATATTTAAACATTTTTTGGGGTAATCAAAGTAATAAAATTGTTTGTGCTTAATACATGTAATGACATAAGAACCTTCATTTCTGTTTTTGAAAGTAAATTTAAAATTGATATAAAAAACAAAACAATATACATTTCCATATATATATACAATTTAAAATGTTAACAAATCGATGTATTAATGTTCGTTAAGTTTAATGGTTTTGTGTGTGTTTATAATTAATGTGATAGTGTGATTTTTTTTAATTGGAAATTTTATATTAAAATGAAACACTAGGTATTAAGCCTTGCAATATTTTTTTTTTAAACTTTGTAATCCAAATAAGATTGATTTAAATTACATATTACGGGAAACAGAAAAAGTACAAATAAAGTGTACTGGTAATTAGCATATAGTGGTATTGTGCTGGTTAAAGGTAACACTAGCACTGTTGTGTATAGCTGTCATGATCAGTGAGAAATTTAAATCTACATCTACAGGCATGGAACATTACTGCAATGGCATCAAATTAAATGGAAAAAACCCACCATGCATGTAACTGAACATATTTAAATAGATAAAAATAAAAACATATAAAGGAAACACTTTTCTGTACTGAAACTATAAATTCTGGACATATATGTGTTAATTGATGCTCCAAAATTCATGAAATTATTGTTCCTTGTAACATTTTCACGCTATAAACTAGTGAAACCTTTTAACATGTTTATTAATAATAAGTTAGGGGTACTGTTATTAAGATGTGTATACTTTTATAACATAGTGTGAGGTCGCAACTTCACATTTCCAAGAGCAATTAAAAATGACTTAATAGTTCAAATATCATATATACCTGTTTAGTATAGTGATATAATCTGTTCAACTGTTAATGTTCCAGCAAAATTAATATACAAATATAACTGTCTGCAGTGTGGTCGGGTATTACTATTTTTTGTGATGAAAATATTCAAACCTACATGAGTACATTGTAATGATTACATAACAATTTGTACAATTAATCCAGTCTTTTAATTCTAACCAAGGATGTGTAGTACACATCTCTGTTTAAACTGATCTATAACATTTATTAGAGTGATACATTAAATTATGATTAATATTATATCGACATCAACAAGTCAAATATTCGGACAAAACAATAGATTCTGAGCAGTTCTGAAAACGGCAGTTAAGTGCTTATATGCCTATACATGTATAGAGCTTTAGGTGTTGGAATTGCCTTTCATAAATTTCTGAAATGGGAATAAGATTATTAATATTTATGTCTTGCCCTTTTGTACAGACTGGTTGTGTCAGGTATGATATCATGAAAAACATTTTCAAGAAACTGATAAAGCAGTTAACGCAACACACTAAAAACCGGTGGAAAATGTGCATCTTGCCCCGGGGTTCTCCTGCATAACAGATTAGCACCCTGGAGGAATTTGAGGAATTTTCAATGAATTTTTCACATTATAGTTTTTAACAGTTGAGAAACTTTACAATATTAGCAAAAGCACATAATATTCTGTGTGGCATGAAATATAAGTTAACAATATGCAATTTAACTAAAACTCACCCCAAACTCATGTTGGCCAGTTATGGAATCTACATTCCGCTAATAGACGATCTTATCTCGATGTAAGCGAACTTCAAACACTTTCAAGTTTCTGCAGAGAAATTATACCGGAAGTAACAGGTACTTTGGGAAATATTTTGATCTCGCGAAATCTCACTCGGGACGAGACTGCTTTGTTTTCCTGTCAGAGTTTCAGAAATCGTGAAATTTTAGTCAATATCACCACGAAAAGAGAAAACACGTGAACAACAAGCATAATAGCCCATGGCGTCGGCTCCTTCGGTTTCCCCGGGACCCTCAGGAGCAGGTAAATATGAGCTAAACCTTCTCGATGAAGTGGTGTCCGAAATGACAATATGTCGGTTTTTGATACCATGGGGTTTTCCCCGTTTTAGCTGTATATATTCTTTTTGATAAAGTTTTTATGAAATGCAAGTAAGTCGATACTATTTTCTTTTCATATTTATAATAAATTAGCTTCTGTTTATTGACAAATTAAGACCATGTATGTTATAATAAAGAATATTTTGAAAAACTAATAGATAAAAATTAGTCACAGGTGCCAAATTCGGCCTGCCAAATCAATATTTATAGAAAAAATCCGTAAAGCGCACAAAATAAATCTGAAACGACACCATAGGTTAAAATTATATTGTAAAAAATGTTCAAAGTAATTCACAGTAACACAGTAAATACCTACTGTATTAGTGAAACAATTTGTGAATTACAGTTCATCAGGTTCAGAACTCTGTTGACTTTCCGAGAGGGTCTCGACAAACCATGCAAGATACACACTATATGGAGACAGAATAAGTTATCATTGCCATATTATTCATTTGTGTGCTATGTTATATTGTAAAAATATATAGTGGCATTTCTGAACCAAAACACAGATAAAGATAATTTTAGAGGACTTCCAAATAGCGCATATGGAGTACACGTCATTGAAATATCTCATCATTAAAGCAATGATTTTTGTTACATCCTGGTTAGATACGACCCAACCACTTCTATTCTAGCAAAATAAACCAATATGTCAAGCTGTGTTCACATAAAGATGCCACTTCTACTATGATCGAGAAGTGGCCGAGATCGTGGGCAAAGCATGTAGAATCTCCATGAGCGTGGTTTGAACTAGGTCGGGTAGCTGCACACTTTCCCCACGCATATTTTTAACTTGCACAAAATAAGTGTAGCTGGGATATGGCCACAAAAAGAAGGGCAAAGTCTTGTTAAGAACGTAGTGGGAATGCAATTATCGAACAAGCAGCGTGATAGCATCATGGGGAAATCTCTGTGGTCGTAATAAAAACGCAGCATCGTCGTCAACTATTTCGAGCCCTTATAATTATACCTTTACCATGCTCTCTCTACGTACCCTCTATGCTCAACACGATCCTGCAATGTCTTAGAAGCGTAATACAGTCAGCACCAGCATAGCGACACGTCTTCTAGGTCTGTGTTACAACGTTGTATGGTCCTATACGTCGTAGCAACAATGTAGTAGAAACGCTTGGTCAGTATTGGTCTAGCTGGGTGTAATCGTAGTGGCAGCGCATAGAAGCATTGCAGAACAATCTGATATAGTCTTTAATTTCCCAAATTACTGGATTTTGACGAAGAAAATGCCCCGATTTGATAACTTTTTTCAGGGTGATCAGCATGGTCTTCGTAAGGTCGTTGAGCTGTGGGAACGGGGTATAAGCAGGGTGTGTGTGCTGGGGCAACCAGGGATTAATGCAGGAATGGAAAGTTAGTACCCTCTTTTTGAAACAGGGAGAAATATGTGCTGTAGATGCTTGACCTGTCAAGGGAGGGTTGCAGGCTGGAGCGGGGGGGGGGGGGGTTCCTCTTGCTATTTATTATAAACTCTTCAAATTGACCACCAGATATAAAGCGTCTGTTAACAGCATCGTAAAATATCATCACTGACAATTAATATGAACAAAGGAAAAATGAAATAAATCACACGGTCAAGGAACTGACGGAAAATAAAAACAAAATGGACCCAAGATAGAATTATTCATGTGGTAGTATTTGGGTTTAAACTTTAGTTTAATTTACTTAAAATAGTTAAGTCTGCTGAAAGTGGGCAACATGCATGTCTCTTATTAACTGGAACACATTGTTTTACTTTCCCTGGTGTAACCGCTGATTATAGCTTTTCTACCTGTAATAATCACACCAATCATGATCAATTTATTTGTGGACCTCTGTCCACCTGTATGTTTTAACCCATGTAGACTTTAATAGATAACGAAGTAAACATTGATATATATGCTAGTACATAACATCTTTTGATAATTTCAAAACAAAAATGTAGCATATGATTAATTTCAACGAATTAAAAAGAATACAGTAACACACATATGTGATTGGGGATAGGAAAAAGGGAGGAATTCAAGGTGAAAAAGGAGTATAACACTTCACCCTCTTAAAACCTTATTTTTTGAATGAATCATGTCTCGGAACAAATGGAATTCTAACTTTTAAAATCCTAAGGGTGGGGGGGGGGGGGGGGGGAATCAGAAAAAATGGAATCCTCAGAAAAGAAGAAAAATATCACATGCCAGTACACTTTTTCATTAGGCCAAAAAAAAAAGATGTCTGTTTAGGGTTCCCGACCGACCCTAGCTTTTTACCCCCGACCCAAAAGTTTTTGATGAAAAAACAACAACGTGGAAGGTTCCTTGCCTTTCAAAGTGACTCCCAACTGTTGGCGCTAAATGTCATCATATGGAGCACAATTTGCCTCCAAATGAACCTTGTTTATGTAATCCTTTGTTTTACATACAATAGTGGGGTCATAATCACATGACCACACGGTACACAAAAATATACAAAACAAAAAAACAAAACAAAAATCTGACCTACATGTACCTACCCTAGTTTTTTTGCCCATGCAATCCTAAACAGTCTATAATTTTTTTTATGGCCTTAGGAAGCAATCTTATATTTATAGCTAAGAATATCTCATTAAAATCTTGCTGTTTAGGTCTATGCATGGTCCAATATTGGACTTATCATCAGAATGATAAATGCAGTTTTAGGTCTTATTAAATGGCTGTAGTATTTTTCCACCATTTTGACATAAATGCTAAGTTATTGTATTTTACTGAAAAAAATCCTTGTTTATTATTCCAATGTTTAAAATAATTAACAGAAATATACAGAAAATTTCAAGAAGCACAATTTAACCTTTCATAACTTAACAATTATAAATAGTAGAACACCTGGTGTTAGTAGATAAAAATAGCTAGATACTAGCTAACACATATACCTCTTGAAAATGTTTTGTTTTGTATCATCTAGTAATTCAGTGTTAGTGTCTATTTAATATCTGTTTATCTCCCTTGCATTGATATTTCATTATCCAAGCCTGCTTGTACAGTATATAGTCCACAAGTACCCATCCCTCTGTGGCTTACCTTCATTCCTTCTTTATTACCTTATCAGTACAGAACCCATCATCTGGCTGTAATACACAGGGGCCATTGACACTGATGTCAGTAGCTAATTAACACCTCATTATCTCATTCAACAAAGCTTTGGTATGCTTCATTGATTGTGGCATATTCCTACATACTACTGGTAACTCAATTACCAGATATGCATGACTGATTTTCATACCTTTGTGTTTAGGGATGTGATGGTGGGATCACAGATATACAAGGAGGGGGGGGGGGGGACACTACATGGAATGGCAAAGCCAATATACTGTTTATTACAGCGTTTGATTGAGAAATGTATGTTAACCTGTCAATGATGAAAATGTTCTATTCGTGCAGGTATAATATTTCTGACATGAAATTACCATTTTTTTTTTATATTCTTATCCATTAAAAAAGGTGATCACAGGTCAGACAAATAAAGTTTAGGTTAATTTAATCGGAACAAATCAATTCACTGATATTTGTAATTTTTGTTATTTCAACAAATTTCTGATACTCCGAAATTGATACTTGATATTTGACATTTATTTAGACCTATTATTTTTCAATATATTTAATCTCATAAAGGTGAGCCTTACTGTTCTCAATGTTTCTGTCCTGGATTTATGTATCATGACAAAAGCTGTTCAGTGTATATATACTGTGGTAATATTTTTCAGACGTAAGTGTGTATGTTCGAAATGTTTTAAAAATAACAGCAAAAATATATTGGAAAATGAGACTTTGTAGGAACTGATCTTGAAAACCAGATTCTTTATCTACCATATTTGCATTTGTGAGCACCCAGGGTATTTGAAATTGGCCGAAAGAGGCACTTACTATGATATCAAAACACAAACCCATTAATTGTGATCAGATCATACATTTAACTGGATGCAGGGGTCCAGATAGATAAGATTGGTTATGCATTAATTACCCATTAACGAAAGTCAAATTACGTCAAGAAATAAAAATCACTGCATGGCAATAAAGCATCCAATATTCATGCTCCATATTCATTTTCAGAATTCAGTATTATGCTTTAAATAATTTATTTCATGCAGAGGTAACTGTATCCTACCTGTGTATTCATGAACATGATGATTATGACAGTTTACTGTATCAATGACTTGGACATTGTTTCACTTTAATTAAAATATCTTATTTGTAGAGATGTTCTGAAATTGCATTAAAAAAAAAAATAACGAAAAATTAGTATGAATTGGGGTCAGGCACATGGTGGGGGCCTTAAAATTGTTGACTTGTCAGTGTTCTAGAGAAGGTTGTAAGGTCTATATACTTGTATATAAACAAAGGGTGTGGATGTCAGCTCAGAAAATCTGTATTTTTAATGCTCATAACTGCATTTAAAGCTTAGTAAACAGAGGTAAATATTGTGTTTGAGCTGTAAAATAAGTGTTCAACAAGCTTTATAACAGACATTAAATAATTATAAGTATTGAGAATCTACAATATATACTGTTGATTTTTCCCTAATACTTTGAAGTAGTGGCCAATTGTACTACATTGTAGTAATACAATTAAAATAAAAATAAATGGAAAATGTCCCATGTGTGATGCAGTATTTCTAACCACTGTAACTTATAAATTCATTCAGATAAGGAAAAGCTGTCGGATTACATTATTGATATGTACTTCATCGCACACAAAAAATGACCAAAATGTGTGGTAAACTTAGCATATTTAAAAAAAAATCATCTGCCTCCTTTTGGAGTCTTTATCATAAATTGAACTGCTTCAGTGATAAAGATATAACGGTGACAGATATTGATTTAGGAGAAGTAGCAAGCTCTGACGGGAATAAATAGTTTCATTTGCGTGAACATCTGGTGCTGTGAATTTCAATTTCTGTCAA